ACACTAGTGGGAAAGGTTGCCTATGACCCGCTCGTGTTCTTATCATTGCTAGGATGTTTTCTTCCTGGATTTCCCCCCCAAATCACAAGGGGCAACACGGTACTCCACCCATCCATGTATGTACCACGTGTTTTCAAGGAAACGCGGGGGGATTGTTTGTTTGAACCCGCGTAGAATGTTAGGTCAATGCTCCCGTAGCCAGGTACCCAGCAATGAGTTCATACCACGTAGTGCTTGTTTGTTTGTTTGGTGTTTGTGTCTGGGGGAGGGGGAAGCGGGAGACAGTTATTTAATAGGACCTCGCAGAGGTGCATTACAGATGAGTGGGGGCGCTCGCGGTGGGGGGGGGGGGGGAAGGAATCCCCTTTAACCATCCCCGGCAGCCCACGAGGCAAATGGGATTTGGGAGTGAATGGGGAGTAGAAAATACCGTAGCCTAATGTTTGCGCTTGAGGGGGCGGGTCATCTTGGTGTTTTGTGTGTCCAGGGAAAACAGAGACGAGGAAAGAAAAGTTAATACATGAATATGGTTGTCTGACCATTTTTTTTTTTTCCGCTGCTGCTACCGTCAATGTAAACGTGCGGTGTGCTTCTCTGGCATGCCGTGCCTCTCTGGCAATCAACCATGCCTGTGTAACATCTTGTCTATCCCGTTCCTCCCATTCATTCCTTGCCTTGCCAAGATAAAAGCATCGTGCTTCGTTAGGGTCATTCAGTTACTTGCGCCATCCTGTCACCACAGCGACAAGCTTTACTTTTTTTCGAAATTCCTCCATCACGAAGAAGCCGCATACAGAGTCCCATGGCCCCTTCCATCAACGATATGGAATATGGAAGGGGTACCACACCGAAAGAGACGGAGAGGTGGTACCCCCCCTCGACCGATTTTCGAAGCTTGATTGCTCCAGGACCAAGATTGTGCCAACACCAATAATGGTGGTATTGGAAACAACTGCTGTCGAGGGCTTTCCGACGATGACGCATCGTACAGAAAAAATCTGTTAAGAAAAAAAAGCTCACATGTTTGCTAAAAAAAATAAGAAAAAAAGGGCTAAGAAACTCAGCTCAATCTCGGCCACGACATAAGAAGAAACGTCCCAATAAGAAACATGATAGTGCGATACCCCGAGACAAAAGAAACAACGGATAGCTGAGGAAGCGTGTCCAATAATAAACCTGCAATGCTGCTACCAGCTCCCACCACTACCTAGGCTAGCCCATAATGTAGTAATTGTTTGGCAGTGGGGGAGAGTGGTTATTTTCGGGTCGCCCCCCGGGCCCCCGCGCCGCCGCGGGCTGCGGTACCCACTGCTGTTGTACTGCTGTATGTATTAGTACTGCCACAACATCACGGGAGTCAGGAAGTTCAGGAGGGCGACAACCACAATCAATCAATTTTCGCCACCACCGAGCTGTCGGTTGAAAATTGTGCATGAAAAGGCGTTGGTGCGTTGTTGTTGGTTTCTTCGCCAGAAATAAGAAAATACGAGCAGCAGGTTGATGCGACAGCCCCAAGGAACTAAGAAAATCCGTTTTAAGAAATTGGCCGACTTCGGCTGGTCCTTCGGGCGGAAATAATAAATTGAGGCTCGACCCGATTTTGACGCGTCTCATCTCCGGGCCCGTACAAGTAGGTTTTCCGCAACCACTAGGTGGTGGAGCAATCGAGCTTTGAAAATCGGTCTTGGGGGGGCGCCATCTCTCCGTCTCTTACGGAATACCACGGTACGGTATATGCGGTACAGTATACGGTACGGCAGTTTGAAAATCGGTCTAGGGGGGGTGCCGTCTCTCGGTATGAGCGTTGATTGGCGTGCATGTACGATCAACGTGTGTGTCCTGAAAGGTAAGCGGCAACCACACGTACGTACGCACTGCACGACTAATGGAGTGTGGACAAAACATTGAAATGAGCTCCAAACATGTTTTGTTGTTTTTCCAAACCATCCAAGGCTTGCTTTTTGCGTCTTCCCGTAAACACAGACTCAGGTAAATCCAGAAAGAAGTAATTACAAGAAGGTTTTTTCCACACACCATCGAAGGCTTTTTTCTTTCTTTCTGCCTATTCCGAGAAACTCGAGACTCGAGGAAAAAAGAATCAGCACAAGAACTTTTTTTTTCCGGACTAACCATCGAAGGAAGGCCTTTTTCTTTCTTTGTCCTGCCTAAGAGGCTCAAGACTCATGTAAATGCATAAGAAAACTTACTAGAATGCATAAGAAAACTTACTAGAAATAGCTGTTCATCACATGACTCCCCCCCCCCCCCCCGGCTTTTTAGGAATGCAAGGGCACTTGTCTAACGACTGCGGCATGGACGAATGACTATGAGTGCCCCCCCCCGTCCACCGACCCCCGCATCAACACGCTGCAGGAGCAGCGTGAGTGAGAGGGAGGCACACCATCTCGTGATGAAACGCGAGGATCACGCGGAAATACGCCACCAATCATGCATTGATACACGAGCAATGCATAATAAATACACCCAACAATGTCAAGCCCCGTCCGTGACTACAAGTATACCAGAAAAACAACAGAGACGCAAGCACCGTATACCATGCTGCCACTGCTGCTTCCTGCTGTCAACGATCTTGCTGCCGACAAACCAAAACATGAACGATAAAGAGCGAAAGCTATACTACTACGTGGTTGGGCGGAGCCTACCGACCACAGGGCCAGGGTGCCGTTAGATCTGACGTTGTCACGGAAACGATCGTCTTCGTAACCATCACCCGTACGCAACACGCATCACTACCAAACAACACGGAGAGGCGAACGCAGCAAAGAGCGGCGATTTGCTCCTTCGAGCTTAAATTATCGTGAGACTGGTCTGGTGCAGACTGTGCGAATCACGCGATAGCCGTGCGTGAATGAATATTATATGCCGACACGAGGAACACAATTATCCGAATTTGCCTGACAGGAACAAAAAAATCAGCGAAAAATCGATCGTTCCTCGGCCCTTTGACCGAACCGAACGAACGTCGTCTCGGGTCATGGGTCTTCACGAAAGACTTTCCCTGGGTCTGCAATAAATACCTCACCCGACTACCATCTGTACCTACCTCAAATCACGCAAAACTGCAACATTTTGGCGACAGTAATGAATGGCAGCCGAGTGATAGATCGTGTTAATCAACAGCACGTGACAAACTTCGGAAAAACCCTCCAAAACCAAGCAAAAGCTGCCAAAACTTGTATCGGTGGAATATCTGAATGAAGGCGTGTGAGCAGTCAAGCTACAGCACATTGTTGTTGGCTGGCCCCTAAAAAAAACGGTTTTTTTCCACGGACAGGAAAAAAAAACACCGAAAAAAAAAGAGAGAGACAAGAGAACAAAAGCTGCAACCGAGTGGGGTGCTGCAACGCATGCATGTAATACACTCCACGCGGTGGTCGGTCTCGCACGAGATGCCAACAAAACCAACATTAACGCAACACAACCACAGCAGGCAACAAATAATAAATAGCGCATCCCTCGAGAGCCGTACAGCAACAACCCGGAAAACAAAAAAATGCTCATGCTCACCACAACCAACACTGAACTTTTCAGTACTACAGTCGTGCCTCGCTTAAGGACACCATTTTTAAGGAAACCTCCTAAGTTAAGAAGGTCTTTTTTTTCACAGGCATGGTGGCTCGCAGAACGTATAAGATGAGGAGGGGTATCAACCTTAATGGCACTTCCTCGGCTTAAGGACACTTTTATTAGCAAAAAAACAGGTGTTTTGTGTCCTTGACCGACCGTGGTTCGACTGCTGTGTCGCCGTATGCACTGCTGTATATCATTCAGCGTTCACTCACGAGAAAACAATCCGCGGGGCTCCTTTGCAACACCGCTTGGCCCACTTACAATCAGCGGGCCCCCCTTACTACAACTCCAAAAAACACCCCCCACCACCACCGCCGGCCTCCGTGGATGTTTGGTGCCATACCCTCGTCCGTAAATTCTCAACTTGCTTGCTTGTTTGCCTGCTGCTGCTGCTGCTGCTGCTGCTGCTGCTGCTGCTGCTGCTGTCTAGGGGCAGAGACGCGCAAGCGTCAACACTGCTGTTACATGCTACCAACCCCAGATGAAAGAGTAGAAACCACGAGACAAAAAACAACGGACGAAAAACAAAATGCCCGGAACAAGCGGGGGTGACTTGCTCCCTTCGCAACACGCACGCCAGGTCCGGCGGCACCCCGCGGCCCCAGTGCAGGCTATTAGTTAGCTTACTCTCTCCAGGAAACCCCTCGGCCACACGCCGATAATCCCCGTGTTTTTTTCTCTCTTCCGCCGAACCCCCTTCGTCTTTCTCTTCTCCGCCGCGGTGTGACGCGGAGACGAACATACATTACAATACCAACCCATATTTTTCTCTCACGTTTTTACAGACTCTTTTTTTCCTTTTTATTTAATCAAGTACCACGCCCGCCCCTCCTTTTCTGCCCGAACCCCACCCCCTTTATGTACACGGCCCTCTGACTTTACAGAGGCAAAAATATTCACTTGCGTGCGTTCGCCGCAAGGCGTTTGTCTTGCAAGGAAACCTACCGTCCGTGACATGACACAAGTTACCACACCCCCTGCATCGGTTTTCAAATCTCGACTACTCCACAACGAACATGTACAAAATCAAACGATACGTTTTCGGAAAGCTCTCGACGACATGATTCCAACGCCGCCATTTTCGGCACTGCCAGTTTCCCTGCTGCGGAATAATCGAGCCATGGAAATCGGTCCAGGAGATGAGGGGCATCTTACGGTAAACATAAAATATTAGCCCTGTCCCGGTTGGCAGGCTTGGTTGGCCAATATAACCCTTACCCCCAAGAGTTGACTGCTTCTAAAGGCCCTTTGACACGAAGGGAAGGAAACCTAAAAAGAGAGATAGATCATATGCGTTGCTTTCCCGCGACCTTTGGTCCTCCTTCAACACTATTGAAAGGAAACCCAGAGAGCGACAAGACCACTTGCTTCTTGCCCCAGCAGGCTTGACCCTTTAACACGGAAACCTCAAGAGAGAGAGAGAGAGAGATCACTTGTGCGCCTTCCCACGGGGCTTAGTCCTGTGTGCGAACGCTCCCACCCTCTTCCTGGCGTAGTAAGGGTCCTCGTCCTCGAGCATGCTCTTCGCGCGATCAGCCGCCCGGCCGCCTGGAGACATAGCGACGACGGGAAGTGCGTGCGCGCGGGGGGGGGGGGGGGGGGGGCCCTGTGGAAAATTGCGTCGGAGTCTTTAAACCCCCCCCCCCCTATCCTTTTAAAAAGGGGGGGGGGGGGGGGTTGCTTTGGCTGTGAAAAAAAGGCCCCCCCGATTTTATCGCCGAAGTGAAAAAAAAAACCCAAACCCTTGGGGGGCCGTTTCCCCCCCCCCCCCCGGGGAATTGGGGTTCCCAAAAGGGGGAACCACCCC